GACCCTTAAAAAAGGTCTGACCCCAAAGCAAGAGGTGAGTGTGGAGGCTCCACAGTAGGTTTGGGTGAGAAGCATGGCTTGACGCTCAGTATAAATTTGCTGAGTGTGTGCCTGCATGCATGAATGAATGAATGTCACACGGCCAAAGACACTTGAACTCTGTTCCCACTGTTGGCAAATAAAACACTCTCAAACTATGTGCATAATTGTTAGAAAAAGCATTTGGATAATGTTTGGAAACATTATACAAAATAGTACATCCCCTCTTACCCACCATAAATGGTAGTGATATGCCAGGTCCATGTTAGAAGATGAGCAATTCTGATTAGATTCCCATCTCTCCATCTTAGATGTGGCTAAAGATAGTTGCTCCCCCCCAAAAGAGTCATAATCTATAGTAGAACTTTCTGACAACTACCAAAGTGGCCCACCATTTGCAACTTGATTTTTTAAAAGAATATAGTAATGGACTTGTTTTTGCTCTGAGTGCGTATGTATTTGGGAAAAGACAGTGGTGAGCAAGGGAAGGTTGCTAGCACATTGTCATATGGGAGAGGAGCAGAGAATGCTGCTTATTTCCTGAAGGCCAAATTACCTCTCCCCACCGTCCCCTCCCCTTGAATCTTCTCAATTGGTCTGGGATTTTCAGTGCTCCTGAGCATGGGTGTTACTATAGGCACATCCAAGATTATCTTGTGTATTCCCCCTCTGGAGCCCATTAGATAGTGGTGTGTGTGTGTGTGTGTGTGTGTGTGTGTGTGTGTGTTAGCACTCATGAGATAGGGGCAAGGTAAGGAAGTGGAGAGAGTAATAATAAAGGGTGGTGGGGGGGAATTGGTCATATATACACCTTGTGTTTTCCCCAGGCATGAAATAAAGGGAGTCTGTCCTTTTAAAGTGGGGCATGCAGACTCCAGGCTTCCTGCTAGCTCACTTTAGCTGGAAATCAGCCCGAAAACCACACTCTGCACTTCTTTGATTCATGCCCAGGGACATTTCTCTAGATCTCAGAGATAAGCTTTCCAAGACACTCCTGGCCTGAATGGCAGCTTCCTCTTTAGCCAAAAATAAACAAGGAGTGGCCAGAGGGCAGAAAAGGAAACAGAGGGTAGGGTAGGAAATGGAAAGTTGAAGAGGATAAAATGCAGAGGCTAAAAGAGATTTAGCATTAGGTTCCTGTTTGAGAAAATGTGTGTAAGGATAGCTGTGTGTGTGTGTTGGGTGGGGGGGGAGTAAAAGATGAGACACAAACAAGATAAGTAACCCGAAAACTTGGAGTGGAGAAGAAATTTAAAAAGGCTGGACAGAGGGAAAATAGGTCTAGTTTCCACTGATTTTTTTTGCAACTGGAGCTCTAGGACCTTGTGTTGGCTTGTTATTCTGAGTATGGACAGTTTTGTGGGGACTCTCACACTGATTTCAGAGGAGATGAATTAGGGAAGACCCAGCTATTCACTAAGTAACTTTGTCCTTCCCTCCTTTTGTGTCTGAACATCCTCTGAGGCTTGTAATTTCTTTGCAAGGGGCTGGAGAAAAGCTTTGCTTCAGAGCCCACAGAAATGGTTCATGAATTTCTAGTCCCATGAGATGCCTTGCCTAATGAATGACTAAATGAATGAATGAATGAATGAGTGATGATTCACAAGTCAAACGAGGTCCAAAGATGCTTGCATATTCCTTCTGCCTTTGGAGAGTTATGGAACAGATTAACATATTGTAGGCTCTGAGGATACTGCTTGAAAGGTATTTGTTGAACAGAGCATTTTTTTTCAAACTTGACTGAGGACATATAATCTTGCACAATTTAGATCATCTGAATGGTGACTCCCAGGCTAAATAATCTATATGACTGTATGGGTGGCCCTTGCCATGATTCTTTCTTTTTTTCTTTCCCTTTAAACAATACTTAGTTGCTTGAAAGCCTCTTGCATTCCATGGGAATACAAAAGATAACATCTTGCCCATCATGAGTATGCAAACGGCACTATTTTCACAGCATTAATAGGGCAAAAAGTCCGAGTTGGGTTGACTTATGCCAATGCACTCATCCATCAATCCTGCCTGGAACCCACAAAATCCTTTTGAAAGATGGTTTCCTGAGATAAGGCTGCAGCTTGTGGCTACAGACAGAATGAGATCATTAGTTTTGCATGTGAATCTCATCCACAGCCACAGTGTCCTCAGCTCCCTGCTTTAAGCCTTGGTTCTTCTCTTCCTTTGATCTAAGTCAATTCCGGTTGGCAGGTGTTAGTGGTGGAAATGCTTGATGACCATTTTATTATTTTATTTTCAGGGTATCAGGTATTGAACCCTGGGGTATGCTACCACTGAGCTCTATCCCTACCCATTTTTATTGTATTGTTAAAGAATACTGAGAACAGAGGCTTATTAAATTGCTGAGATTGGCCTCAAACCTGGTCCTCCAGCCTCTGCCCCTAAATCATTGGGTTTATAGGCATATGCACCATCAGGCCCAGATTTAATGGCCCTTTAAAATGTTCAAAATGTTCAAAGGCCACTGAGATGCAGTACTGAACACACACACACACACACACACACACACACACACACGATTCTTGAATGAAAGTCTGTGTCTTAGAACTATAAAGAATATAAAGATCTTCTGGATCTATTTCCTGTCTTTAAGTCATTAGTAATAATACCTTATAAATCTTCAATGTTTTCAGTTTAGACTCTAGAACATCAATTCCCTAGCTTTGCTGCACATTGGAATCACCCGGGAAGCTTATATTTAAATGTTTGATTAACATAGATTAATCCTATATTTAAATGGGGTTCAGTGTGATATTTGAATACATGAATATAAGCGTGCATTGATCAAATCAAACATCTCTTTATCCATCCTCCTCCCCCTTGCCATTCTGGGAAGCTTTTAATTCCAATGCTTGCATTATATCCCACTCCAATCAAATCATAACATCTGGAGTGGGAGTTTGCATTTGTATTTTTTAAAGATCCCCATTAATCCCGATGTGCAGAAAGTCCAGGTTGCACTGGTTTAGAAACACTTTAGTTTTCCAGACATTTTATTACAACAACTATGTATCCCTGAGAAGAGCAAGACAGGAATTCATTCTCATCCTTATAGTAACTGAGGTCCTAACAGGTTAAAAAGCATGATCAAGATCACAAGAGTAGGTCAGGTTCCAGGTAAGGGTTCCTTCTTTGAATGATCCTAAGTCAAGCACAGCATGTCAGATTAAATTCTGAAAATGATGGGATGAGAGACTCGGTGGGAACTGGGAGGAGTTGGTCCACACTGGATTGAACATGGACCTTCACGTCTGTAGGAGAAACAAGAAGGTCACTTCGGTGTGGCCTCTTGCCCCTCCCATCAATGCTCTTTCTGTCTGGAGCCTGCTGGTTTGCATTTCATTTATAGGGAGAGAAAATAGAACCTTTGTGCTGGTGTTGAAGGAAATTAGAAAAAGCCTCAGCTTGTCTTCTGACTTAATGTCAAATATTTATCTCCTGCTGGTTTTAAACAAACAAGTCCTCCCCGTGCATGTTGATGGTCTCAAACACTCTACCCATTCGTTGTCTCTAGTTTCTCAGCCTCAGCAACAGCAAGTATGAGAGAAATCTACTATTCTATAGAATTGTGCTAGCAGCCACATCAGCCTGCTTCTGCAGGGGCCCAATGAGATGAAGTGAGACGCACCGGGTCGAACATACGCACACTGGTGTTGGGTAGGATTCACTAATGACTGGGAATCCTGATGCTTGACTCTCATTAACCAGAGACTTAGAAGGAAGGATGGAAAGTATTATCCAAAATCTCCCAAATACCACCACACGTTTCCATCATCTGACATGATTCAAAAGTCCTATGGGTAGAAGAAGTACAAATTCTAACAGCTCTAACATGGGAGATAACTTATAAGTCCTCTTTCATTGGAGATAAAAAGCAACAGGCTGGGTGACCACTTGGATGACATGCTTTATGTTAGAAGGGGACCTGATGACCTTAGTTCCAATCCTAAGGTAGGTCTTAAAAGGAGAAATATGCTGCTTTAAATTTCATTTTGAAAAATTATTCCACAAAAAACTTTCTAGGTTAAGAGGATTATGTGAACATTATTTCTTCCTTAGCCTCAGAAAAATGAAATCATGAATTCGTTTGAAAATGGACTGTTGTAGAAAATTGCTATTGAGACTCATAGCAGAGAGTTTGTTGCATCTAAATAAGTTTAACAAAAGTAGTCTTGTATTTTTCTTTTTAGTATGAACAGATCTCCAGAATGCTATCCTATGGTTAGGTATGTTTAAAAGTTGTCAAAATTTGTGAATAATTATCCTTATAAAAATAGTGGGATTTAAGGTTACCCCTGTGACATGCTCACTCTCATTCCACAATTGTTCCTTAATAAGGAGAAAAAAAGACACGGGAAACTTGAGAATTGCTTACACATGAACACATCACCCTCCCGGATGCTGCAGCTGAAAGAAATGTTTAGAACTAGCTTGGTCTAGGCGAGGGCTACTCAGTATGGTCCATGGACCAACAGCATCACCATCATCTGGGAAGTTAGTTGAAGCAGCAAATTCTCAGGTCCTCAAAACAGATCTATTGAATCAGAATCTCTAGGGGTGGGACCCAGGTATCTTTTTAGAAGCTCTCCAGTTTGCTTGCTAAAATTTGAGAAATACTGCCCTAGACCAATGCTTCTCAAAAGTGTGGTTTACAGTAGCACCAACATCTCCTGGGAACGTAGTAGAAACCACTGCAACCCTTTTTCACGGAGTTTTGGCAGGTGATAGTGGAAATACTCCACAGCCCTTTTAAATGTTTAAAGGCCACAGAGATGGAAAAACTGAATATATAGAATAATGAATTCGTGGGTAACAGCACACGTTTCAAAACTGGAAAAGAACTAAAAACATGTCCCGTTTCCTGTCTAGGCAGTTAATAATACAACCCTACAGGCCTCCAGTGTTTGTTTTTGTTTCTGTTTTTCCCTCTTCCCCTTTTGATTTAGTGGTGGTTGTCCTGCAATCAGCCACCCTGAGGGTGGGCCTTGCATTCTGTGCTTTAACAAGTCCTCCAGTTCGACTATAGTTCTCATCACCATCTGCCTGACCCCAGAGACTGGTAAGGCTTCCCTATTTCAGCCTGTGCTTGGGGCCCTTGTAGCTGACTTTCCTGGTTTCTGCCATCTTTGCCACACCCTAATCCCAATCCTAGGCTGGGACATGCAGGTAGAGAGTGGAACTTTGCACACTTGCAGGGACATGGCCACATGCAGAGTCTGGTAGAGTAGATGGCATGGCTTTGAAATGAGGATTTCCCCCCCTCCCTCTATGAACCAACCTCCACACAAACCCCAGCACTCACACCGTAGCACTAGGAGTCCATAAGGCAGAGTACTTGCGGAAGAGAGGGCAACCTAAGGAGTTTGAGCAAGGCCATGCCTTGAAGCCTTTTGGGCCTCACCTCTCTCCAGCTAAAGGAAAGCATATCCTCTTCTCTGAAGGTGGACTCAGCTTAGCCTCTTGCAGAGACCATAGGACTTGGGATTCTAAGGGTGGCTATTAATTGTGTTCTTAGGTTAGTTTGAGGAAGCCCTGGCTGAAAGTATGTTTCCCCAAAGCTACATGGACCTACATTATGAGGAATGCTAACAGACTAGGAAGAGAGGAAAAATGTGAGAAAGTTAAAGACAGAAGAAGGAAAGGTGGAGATAGAAAAACGCAGGGCTTTGTGGATGGCCTCTCTTGTTAGGCTGGTAGGGGTCAGACCCTGTGCAGGGGATGTGAAGGGGCTGCTCCTCAATTTGCTCCAGGGGTTTGGTTTTGCCTCTGCCAGAGCCATACAACTATGCTAACCTGTAAGATCTTTGCTTCAAGGACACAAGAATGAACAGTCAAGTCTGTGCTTGGAAATTTTGTTGGGACTTTTCTAGTGAAAGGCGATGTCACACATCTTGCCTTCCTCTACAGAGGAACAGAGGACTCTTAGAGGAAGATGGAACCCTTCGGTGGCACATTCTTTACTGACAGATCTGTCCCTGGATAAGCTCCAGCTCCTGAATGTTGTAAAGGCAGGCTGGAAAGAACTGTATATAGTAATTCCCACAAGGGCTACATCCCAAGATACCCATGAGTGCCTGAAACAGTGGCTAGTAGCAAACCCTATACATACTGTTTTTTTTTTTTCTATAGTAAATACCTGTGACATCTACTTCATAAATTAGGTACAGTAAGAGACTAATGACAATAACAATAAAATAGACCTAAAACAACATAATCATTAAAAAGTTAGTTAAAACTTATGAATAATTTGTTTCTGGAAGTATCTATGAAATATTTTTGGGTAATTGAAAATCCTAGAAGGTGAAACTGAAGATAAGGGGGTCTACTATAATCTGTGTCTTCTCTTGATTATCCCCATTTATAGCATTTTTAACCGAATTTAGGTTGGAGATGGCAAGATGAATGTTTCACGCTAGTCCTTCTCAAACTCCTATTGAAATGACGGAAGAGGAAGGAAATTACACACCATTGGGGTGAACAGGGAAAGGCAGCAGCTACAGGAAATAAGTTGAAGGCATTCCTGGTAGATAGAGTCAGGTTGCAAATAAAGGAAGGAAAGACTGACCTGTCCATAATTCGATATCTGCAAAAGAACTGCAAAAACTGATGGGCAGCCTTTCCCACCCCTCCCCAAAGTCCTTAAAATATATTATAGTTGGCTCTTTGTAGCATTGAGTTCCACATCTTTAGATTCACATAATTGTGAATACAAAATATAGACAGCATGATCTAAAGTGCATGTATGAAGACACGAATTGGTGTCAACATACTTTATAGACAACCAGATATATAAAAAATTGTGCTGTATATGTGTAATAAGAGTTGTAATGCATTTCGCTGTCATTTATTTTCAAAAAAGGTGTGTGTTTACTGACATGAATAGATTATTTTCATGTCATTACTCTCAAACTATCTATAACAGAAACGTATTTACATAGCATTTACATTGTATTTGGTATTAAAAGTAATCTAAAGACGATTTAAAGCATATGAGAGGATGTGTATAGAGCATATGCAAATTCTATGCTATTTTATATGTGGAATTTCAGCAATTGCAGATTCACTGTGGGAAGTCCTGAAATCAATAAATACCCCACAAAGACCAAGGGCTGGCTGACTTTATTTAGTCCTTACCCTAACCTTATATTAACCATTTTTATTGGTGAAAAAAAATAAATGTTGAAGGGCTTAAATAATTTGAGGTTAGATAAATATTTGAAAGCAAGCCTGCCTACCTGACTTTAAGTCTCTTGTTCTTTAGTATTTCCACTATTCTTTAACTGAAATACGTACAGAATATCCTTCTGTTCCCCACTTTGGATTGGATTTTATTCCTGTGGAATATAAGGGCAGGTACAATGGGGAAGAGTTCAAGGTTTGGCTCCTATATGCTCAATACTTTGAATAATTGTATATGACTGCTTCTAAATAGCCTGCATTTCTCTTTGCTGGTAGGACCCACAGAAAACATCGGACTTCCTAAGAAACTGCTTGATAAAAATGACCCTTGGCCAGCTTATGTCACCTATATCTCCCCAGTGGTAAAAAGACTCATTGAGAAAAGCAAAACTAGAGAATTGGAATACAGGCAGACTTTCGAGGAAAGTCAACGGGCATCACGGCTGAACAAGCCTTCCAGCACACTCCAGATGGGAGGGAGAATAAAGTCCTTCAAGTCCTCTGAAGAAGCTGTGTTCAAGGATATGCTATCAGAGACTATGTTATCAATGTTGGCAACTTACTCTTTTTTGGATTCTCCTGTTGCCCCAGAACCCACGTATTTACAAAAGGATTCCAGAGAATGTCCCATCGCAAACTATAACAAGATCATTTTCCCCTGCAAACCTATGATGAAGATGCTTCCATACAGCTCGCTACCGGCCAGCAAGGAGAAATAGGCAAATGGCTAGCTAGGAGTCCTTGCAGCCATCCCCTAAGAATGTACAGCAATTAAGCTCCATTGGCCACAAAAGTACACTATGTCCTTTAACTTTGAACTTGCTCGGGTTCATGCAGAGGTTGGCGGAGAGAAACCACATCAGAATGTGGGCTGTGAGTTGGGTGGGTAACCCTGCTGCAGCTCTGCAGCCTGTGGATTTGGACAGTTCCGCCACAGATGCTGAGGACCTACCTGTAGGTACATCAGTCAGGACCAGGAAGGTGACAGAGATCACACCAGTTAATTTTATCAGAGATAATATTATGAAGAATTATCAACTAGGAAAATGAAAAGGACGTAAAGATAATCTGAAGGGATCCAAGTAGGGTAACCCCTGCAGGAAGCTGGGTCAGCAAAGGGAATACACTGGTCTCTCTGAGAGGTCATTTGGGAGACTGGTTCTGTGTGTTGGAAAAACTCCAAACTGGATCCATGTGTTCCTCCAGTTTGCCACTGTCTGGATGGATAAATAGGATTAATAGGGAAAGTGGACAGGGACAGGAAGCAAACCACCAGGGAGATCCATCTTCCTCCTCTAGCCATGCAGGCTCTTGCTAGCGCCTCCTACAGGCTGAGTTGATCAGAGCCTAAAGCAAGGATATGATTTGCAGAATCCCAAACACAGCATCTCCAAGCATGGTATGAAAGGATGGATTTTTGAAATCAAGACAATACTAGCTTAATAATGAGCACATGGTTCTGATGCTCCATTTTGGCCTCTGAACCTGGTATTGAGGTTAGTTTTTCTTGGATGGCTTACAAAATAGTGGTGGGAGCCAGAGTGTTCCCTGCTGAGAAATGGAAGATCCACACCTGCGAGCCCCACTTGGTTGTAGTTCTTTTAAGGTTTACTTTATGGAGCAGAGATAGTGGAGGAAGAAGTTCTTGGCTGGAACCCTGCTTTTATTTGTAAAATGGCCACTAGAATTTGTCTACCCATGCTCTTAATTGGTCCCAAATCAAGCAATGCTGAAGTCTGCTCAGTCTCCAAGTAGACAAGCTCTGTTTTGAGACACAAGGAAGATTTGGTTAAGACAGGCAGCTCTAGCCAGTCTTGTCTTTGGGATTTATCGGCTAAGCATGGCTGACCTCACCTGAGTTTCTGTGTTTGTCTTTGCAAAGGCAGTTAATACCCATCTGGCTTCACCAACAGAGTTATTATACAGGATGTGATATACTAATAGATATGTCATTTGAAACAGTTAAATTTTCCCTACAATGCATTTTTACCTGTCTAAGAGTCTTGTGTGTTCACCCTCATTTATGGGTACAGCTTTGGAGATCTCATTTTCGACTCCTATGCATTTGTGTTGGGACAGAAGTATAAATTAGTAGCCCTGGACCAGTTCCTGGGTTCACAACCCTTGATCAGAAAGAATTCTTGCAAAAATAGATGTTTTCTAGTGAATCTCCATGATTGTATTCTGTGTCCATACAATGTTTACAAACCTGGAGGCAGGTGCTAAATTCGTCCAATAAGAAATTTTATATCTTCTATCTTTTTATGGGTTTTTATGTACAGGGTATATTTGGGAAAGTGTAGATTGAAGAGCCTCTTGGAGTGTTAGAGTTTGTAGGAATTTAGGATTATTGGATTATTTCTTCCAATCTCTTCAAGGGATGAGTAGTGTGGTAATTTCCCAAAGGTTGCATAGAGTTTTTTTTGTTTGTTTGTTTTGAGGATGGGAGAGTAACTGAGATTGAACTCAAGGGCACATGACCACTGGACCACATCCCCAGTCCTATTTTGTATTTTATTTAGAGACAGGGTCTCACAGAATTGCTTAGTGCCTCGCTTTTGCTGAGGCTGGCTTTGAACTTTTGATCCTCCTGCCTCAGCCTCCCGAGCTACTGGGATTACAGGTGTTCCCGCCTTATAGGTTTATTTATTTATTTTTAGTTTCTAGATATTTAATAGTTTTTACAAAAGTATGTACTCTAAACTAAAACTATTGTGTTAGAGACAACATTATTTAGATAAATTTAATTCTAACAACATAAGCATGAGCCAATGACATCATTTTACATCTCATGCACTAATGAAAATTACCTGCATTGTGTGACTGCATTGGTCCCTGAAGCAATTTTTAGAAATAAGAAGTCTAGTTCCTTTTGAAATAGGAACTCTGCTCAAGCCCTAGATGGAACTCATGGGTCTGGCCAACCTGGGGGTCTTGAGTAGCCCACTACTAGGAAAGAATTTTCCCATGGAAGAAACAGCAGGGTGAGACCAGCTGTTCCCAGTAATGAAGTATCGGTCACTGGGGGAGGAGGATGATTCTGTGTACCCTGTGGTGTCTGATAATCAGATTTATCTTTTGGTCCAGACATTCCCGGGTGCCCTGGAGTAGGTACCAGTCAGTCTCTCAAAGGGCTTTCAATAAAATCCTGTGGAGTACCAAGTGGAGGGAGATCTTACTGACTTCACAGTCCACCAGCATATAAGCCCCACTGCCTGATGGGGATGTGAAACTTCTAGGTCTGGCGGATGCTGAGTGACATCTTTGGCACTCCCAGAAATAGGCCTGGAATCCTTCGTGGGGCCTGATGTCTGTCATGAGCAGCAGAGTACACATGGAGTGGAATGTGGATTATTCCCAACGTAACCTCATCTGCCTACCCAAGTTAGAGAGACCTAAGATATCTCAGGTTACTCTGAACACACTGAACTTCCATCTTGGAGAGGGAACTGGCCTTCTATGATGGTTCATAGCCCACAACCTCTTCTTATTTATCTCCTCTATGAATGGAATTTTCTGCTTGGCAGGAGAGCTGTTTTAGTGGATCCCCCTGCTGTTGTAAGTTTAGGAAACACTAGAATATGTATTTTGTTAGCCCATCTGTGTTGTTCTGTAACTAAGGCCCTGTTCTGACACATACTGAGCAGCTGTTTTGGACAGATTCTTGGGCTCCCTGTGCACAATATGGTATTTACCCATTTGCAGATTCCATGGTTGGTGTTTGAACAGTGGATGTTTAACCTCGGCAACACTGACTGAGCCTGCTGGTCATTTTCATTTTGTTAGGAGACTGTTGTGACATCAAGTTCCACATTCTGCAGCCTGCCTAGCTGTGGTCCTGGAGCACATCTTGGTGGAGATTAGGCTGATTGACAGATAAGAGGTCTGCAAGAGTCTTCAAGGAGGTAACTGTGTCCAGGAAGGTGCTGGTGCAGGTGTGGGAATGCCAGATGTTTGGGGGAGGGCCTGAGAGTCTTCTAACTGGTATGGACTGAATTGTGACCTAAATGGAAGATGTGGGTTTGGAGCCATATGGGAATAAGAGTGTGGTCAGCAGATCCAACTCTTCCTTTTGTTAGCCCACATCCTTTACGACGGAGACTTAAATGCCATATAGTAACATGGTATCCCTCCCCTTTTCTTAGGATGGAGGGAACAAAATGGGTACTGTGAGGTCTAAGTTATGATCTTTGGACTTTGTGGGGGCTCCTCATGAGAAATCACATGAAGCAGGGGACACAGCACAGGGCAGAGTTCAGCTCCCCATGCTCGAATCCCAGCTAGGCACTGAAGATGTATCCAAGGGCACAAAAAACTAGGATCAGGAGTCCCAGCCCTGTCATTCTGCTATATACATCAGCAGCATTTGTAAAAAGATTGTGAATGTGCCTTTGGGAGCTGTGTCCCAGCAAACATGCCCGCCTGCACCATGTGGTTCTTTTCGGCCTTGAGTCATTCCTTCCTAGAAGCTTTTTTGGAATCCCCACACTTCCCAGACCAAAGGGCACATTTTTGGAGCCGGCATATGATCAATGCCAGAGAAGACAGACCCAGAAACCCCGGGAACAGGGAGTCAGGGAAGGGGAAGTAAACAGGGAGTTTGACTGTGATCTGAGGTTGTCACAGCCTGGACCAAAGCTCAGAGTAGGGTTTCTCTTTGCCAAGTAATCTGGAAAACCTCCCTCTTCCTCCTTCCCTCCCCCTTTCCTACCCACATCTCTTATGAGAGACCTGAGGCAAGCTACTTAAGAACTTAGAAATCACCTTACTAAAATGTCCTTAAATCTGTAGAGCATGGCTAGGCTTGGCTTGCACACGTTCAAAGGATTCTTTGGGGCATGCCAGGCAGGGCCAGCAGGGGATGCAAGAAAAGCCCTCCTCTGTCTCATATTCCAACCTGACCATGAGGCAGGAGCTTTGGACAGGGCAGAATACAGTGGAGGAGCTTTCTTGCAGGGTGATATATGGCATGGAAAAGACTTTAGACTAGGTGTCTATATCCCTGTCTCCTCTTCTAGCCTCTATATTCCAGGGCTAATAAAAATCTCTACGTCATCTATGGCCTTTCTAGGAAGCTCCTATTGCTGGGAATCTCAGCAGGGCTTATGGTATCCATTCATTTCCTCTCCAGATTCAATTGTTCTGCCTCCCAGAACATTCCATTGATTTGGGTAGACAGAGGGATGTGAGAAACCACAGAATTTCAAGCAAGTTAGAAACTCAGCTCCTGGGATGGTTTCTGCACATGTGCTAACTGGGAGGAATTTTGGGGAGAGGAGAGTTGGGACCACAGCAAGTTACAGATGGAAGGAAATTGGCTCAAGGGTGTCCAGTTCCCTGTTCACACATTTGTATGTTGAAGGTTGTCTGAGTCCATTTTACTGCCCAGAGAGTTAGGGCCATACTTATCTGGTTGGCTGTATAATTACTGAAGTAGGAGAGCTCCTTTGGGATTGGAGCCCAGATTCTCAACTCTAAATGCAGGCTGCTTCCCCCTATGCTGAGACCATCTCTTCCTAGATTGAATCAATGATAGTCCTGCTGGCATCTAAGTAGGGGTCCATGGCTGCTGACCCATGGGGTCTATTGTGGAGTGGCTTTACTCTTTATATGGCCAGTTTGCTGTGTGCTCTGGAACACAGGTATAGTATGGTGAGGCTGAAAGTGCCATAAGCCTGGACATGGCTGGCCAGATTTCTTGTCACATCCCCAGATCCTG